CCCCCCTAGGATTATTACTAGAAGAGGGAACAAAGGGATCATATTGGAGATTAGCAATAACATTGCCAAGAATCACTGTTTATGAATGTCTGGATCCATAATCCACAACCGCGGACGGAGGGGCTTTTTTTAAGAAACGGGTGTAACACAAAACATTCACTCATAGCATGATCGTGGATCTTATAATCATTACAAAAATTCTGTACTTTTTCGAATTTGACTTGCTGCATATACTCGAGAGATTTTGACCCTAACTAGATTTCCTTAGGATGCTTTTTCGTGATATCCAATTCAACAAGAATCAGAACCATCAAAGGCCTCGTCTTGGAGGCCGTCACTTGGTCCGTTTGAAGTTGCCTACCAAAATAGAACCCAGAGCATGCAAGACATGATAGTTGAAAAATTTAAACCTAAATTAGGGAAGGAAATCCAAATCATAATGATCGGGGATTCTTCCTTAATATCAAAAAGCGACGTCCATTTAAGAAGATGCATCTGGTAGTTGTTAATGTATTAAGACCGCATAGAAAAAACTCTATTGTAATCCAAATCATTTACAAGTTGAATGATCATATGGCGTGCATCCAAGAGGCCAACAGAAAACAACCCAAAGAGTTTCAGGTTAGGAAAAAAAACACGTATATAATCTAGACTCGATCTACGCATGAAAAATTTCCCAACTAATATAAATTGAAAAGGTGAAGCAAGTTTTAACATCTTCATCCAAAATAAAAATAGCTAGCACACCTTTAAAAATCGAGTAAGTGATAATTTGGCATTGGCAATAGGTTTTCCTTTTTTTTTTGGGTTTGTGGCTCTTTTTTCTTGGGTCACAGCTTTTATATTTACACATATATTGAAATGGACTTCTTGTATTTACTCCATAGTCAAATGAAAATTTGGCTGTGCCACTATTTACCCTTAAAAAAAAAAAGAGGGGCCCATGCTATGTAAATGAAAGAATAATAATAATAAATAAATAAAATAAGACAAGAAGGGCGGTAGGCCGATAGCAACGGTCCAATTATATGTTGAATAAATTTGATTAAGCAAGCCGACTAATAAATTAAATTAAATAAACTTATTGAGAAATATATATACATATATTAAGTTTTAGAAAGCAATTGAATAAAAATCATATTGTTCATTTCTTAAAAGCATTAGGATTAAAATAAAAATTTAAATATTTCTTTGATTAAAATGTTCTAAAAATTGCTTTCACGCCGACCATCATTATTAGTAGGGCTGTCAAAATCGGGTGACGGGTCGGGTTCGGGTCCAACCTGAAATTGACCCGACATTGTTCAACCCGACCCATTTTTGCAAACGGGTCGATTTTTCGAACCCGAACCTGACCCGCTTCGGGTCCAGGTCAACCCGAACCCGACCCGATTCGGATATATTTTATTAATTTTTTTATTTAATTCAATTTATTTAAATCTAAATCAAATTAAGGTAAGATTTACTTTAATTAATTTAAAATAAATCAAGATTAATTTAAATTGGGCAATAATGTTTATAATTTTTTGAAATATCATTTACTTATTTCATAAGAAATCCATTAAAACCCTCCTAAATTAATTAAAAACGGGTTAAATCAGGTTAATTTCTGATTTCCGGGTCAACCCGAACCCAACTCGGTTTTGCAAACGGGTCGAAATCCTTAACCCGAACTCGACCCGGTTCGGATTCGGGTTGACCCGAACCCGAAATTTTCGGGTCGGGTCAAATATTGACACCCCTAATTATTACCAAACAGCCAAATTGCTTACTCACTTGTATTTACTTGATAGTTAAATGAAAATCCTAGAAAAGACTCAAAGATTCTGTTTAATTGCAAATGTTCTCCTTTTCCTGCTTTTTTATGAAAGCAAAACCATAATTAATATACTTATCGGATCAAATGCTTGAGCAAAATTGGAAATTGGAAGAGCTGCCTTTCATCTTCAATTATCGAGTCGTTGTTCGCAGAGGTAAGTTACTTCACCTTACCAATGTTATCCTCATCTAATTCTGTAAGAGTATTTTTTTTTTCTTCTTTATTAGCTAAATAATTCTGTAAGAGTATAGGTTGTGTTATTTGACGAGAATCAGATGGAATGGACGATCTTCTGGATCTGCTGAAGCCGATATTTATTAAATTTGATCAGCTTTAGCTTTTGATCTGTATACTCGGAATTCAACCCAAAATTATTTCACTTATCTTTTCTTAATTTCTGTGATATCTCAACAACAAAAAAACTCTATTCAATTGATTGCTTTTTGGCTGCAAGAGGAATTTTAAATAAATTTATGTTCCATGATCCTCTACTAACTCTCGTTCTAATAAGTTGGAATTTTATATCTTACCATACAGCTTAATGATGACAGGGATATTTGATTATAATCCTTGGATGAAGCCATGGCCGATATTATTGCAATCTTCAACAGATGGACGAAGTTAGGGTTGTCTGCTTTTTTAGATCTTCCGGCGAGGGGCAGGCTGTCCTCCTCTTTGGATGGATCTTCATCTTCATTAGGAGAGCCTATACGACACAATGCCTTAGATGACTTTGAGAGGATAAAGCGAATGTTGCCGAGGATCAAAGCAGTGCTTGAAGATGCAGAGGAAAGGGACATACAAGACAAATCATTGAAGTTAAGGCTTTCAGAGCTGAGGAATCTGGCTTATGATATTGATGATATGATCGATGAGTATGAGTATGATGTGTCAATAGCCCAGATGGAAGCCAGAGCTGCAGAAGAGCCCTACCACTGTGGCAAGGGAAATGAGGGCGATGATGAACATCATGATGATGTCGAGAAGAGGGACGGTCGTAATATATTAGCATCTTCATCATTTCAAGTTCCTGCAATTTCTGATGGCATGGCTCAAAAGCTAAGAGAGATTCATGAAAGATTTGATGAGATTGAAAAAGATCGAAAGGCACTCCATTTAAGAGATGAAGATGGGGTGAGGCAAACCATTGGTGCACAAAATCCCCCGCCTACTAGCTCTCTTGTCAATGAATTGGGTATAATTAGGAGAGAAAGTGAGAAAGAGAAGATAGTGAAACTATTACTCTCGGACTTGGAGTCCGGTAGCGACATCCGATCTAGCAATAAAATTTCAATCATTCCTATAGTCGGCATGGGGGGTTTGGGCAAGACAACGCTAGCCCAACTCGTCTATAATGATCATAGAATTCATCAGTACTTTAATCTCCGTATATGGATATATGTTTCTGAGGATTTTGATCTTGTGAAATTAACTAAAGAGATATACAAATCCATAACTAACAAACCATGTGAGGAGGATGTTGGATTCGACTATCTTCAAGATTCTATAAAGAAAGAACTCATGAAATTTAAAAGAACATTTTTGGTGTTGGATGATGTGTGGAATGAGAAGCAATTTCTATGGGAGTCCCTCCAAGTCCCCTTTCATGGTGCAGGCATTGTGAATATTTTGTTGACAACACGAAATGAAAAGGTTGCAAATCTCATGCGGAATATGAACTCCTTTCATTTGGACTTACTTTCCAAAGATGAAGGTTTGCAATTGTTCCGACGATGTGCTTCATATCATGATGAGAATCTAATGAAGATTGGTCAGAGAATTGTAAACAAGTGTGGTGGACTACCTTTGGCTATAAAACTAATTGGAAGCCATCTCAAATTCGAAAGAGATGAAGCCAAGTGGATGGGCATCTTAGAAAGTGAGCTTTGGGACTTGGATCTAGGGACAAATGAGATATTTCCTGCTCTTAAACTAAGTTATCAAAGGATGCAGTTCACTTGAAACCATGCTTTAGGTATTGCTCCATGTTTCCTAAAAATATGATACCTGACAAGAATCACATAGTATGGTTGTGGATGGCACATGGATATATCCAACCAAAAATAGGTGATAGGACTATGGAGGCTATAGGAAGAGAGTATTTTGATTAACTCTTGGACAGATCACTACTTCAAGAAACAGAGTTTAAGGACTCCTTTAAAATGCATGACTTGGTTTTTGATCTAGCGGTTTCTATCTCTAGTAATGAGTTCATTGTAATGAAATTAGGAGGCAATCAAAATAAATGCATATTAAATAATATTCGGCACTTAGCTATACATGATCAATCAACAAAAAATGAAACACTAAAATATACTTTAGGGTACCCTGTTCTTAGTAAGCATGTTGCTCTTCGTTCTATATTTTATTATGGTAGGAGTATAATTGATAATTTTCAATTCTCAGATTCAATATGCTTGCGAGCACTACATATCGAAATATTTCAGTATAACTTAAATTTTCTAAAATTTCTTGATTCAATTGCGTCATTGAAGCATTTACGCTATCTTTAAATTAGTTTTAAACATTCATGGAATCCTCATTTTGAAAAAGCTATACTTTCAAGTCTTTGCAATTCATCTTGTAATATTCGTAATGTGCAAGTATTGAACTTGCTTAGTTTTCATGGTCATGCTAGAATGTTACCAATAGGAATAAATAACTTCATCAACCTACGACATTTGATTCTACCATATGGTTCCATCATGCCATGTGGGATAAGCAAGTTAACTGGTCTCCAGACTTTAAGATATGTAATTGTGAATGAAGGAAGCCAAGAAGGTGATGGACTAGGTGAGATAGAAGACTTAATAAACCTTACAGGGAGATGTTGTATCATGGGAATATGTTATGCACATGATGTTGAGGGTTTCAAGAAGGCAAAATTTAATAGGAAGAAGCATATTCAAAAACTATACATAGATTGGCGTTATTCAACAGCTGATTCTGAATTTCATCCATTTGATGTTCACATATTTATTGCTGAATCTGTCATAGTAGAGAAACAAAGTTTTGAGCTGGAAGAGGCCAAGCTTGAGGCATTGCAGCCTCACAACAACCTCAAAGAATTAGGTATACATGATTACCCTGGGATACAATTTCCTTCGTGGCTTGGTGATCCCTCATACTTTATGTTACAAGATATAACACTTCAAGGATGTAATGAATGGGATGGATCAGGAAGAGTACTGGATAGAGATCTCCCATGTCTTCGAATTATTTCCATCATTGATTGTGCCAAGTTAAAAAGCATAAAAATAGTCCAATCATCCTCGCTTAGCACACTGTTGGTTAAAGAATGCCCTATAATAACAACATTGCATGGGCTTTGCAGTTTGCATAGACTTGAAAAATTAGAAATAATAAAGTGTTATAACCTCTTGATCTCTATAGAGGAGGAACTTCCTTCCAAGTTGCAGTTCATATGGTTTGAAGATTGTTGGAAGCTGGAATCAATAGCAGGCCTGCAAGACCTCCATTCGCTTGAGGAATTGAAGCTAAAAAGATGCCTAGAACTTAAACTCTCTTTGAAAGAACAACTTTCAACCATTCCTAGTGTTTTGGAGATTATTGATTGCCCTGGATTAAGAGAGTGAGGTCAAAAATATGCATTCGAAGTTATTATGGTATGCTTCATCACTCCTTAAATTCTTAAATTTTCTTATGATTATTATTGCTTGTACAAGATGGTAATAAAAATGTAAGAAATATATAAAAGAAAAATAATAATATAACCAATCTGAAATCAAACCACAAATTGCATGACTTTCATTTTTTTTCCACATATCTTACATATATGGACATCATCTATTCATAAAGTTCATGATTTTTGTTTCCTTCATTTTAAATGAGGATCTCTATAAGAATTATCTGAGATTGAGGATTTGATTATACGACACACCAGTCATATAATATCAAATTATGGCACAAGGAGCTTCATCTCTTTAAAAACTTTATATATACTTGAGTCTAATAAAAGTGAGTTCCCCAAAAATGAATGGATTTCGTGCAATCTGTATAGTTTGCAATGTTTGAAGTTTTTTTCCTCTATACTAACAATATTGTTATAGTTATCTTCTTCGTATCTAATTTACATTTCCAATTCCTTTGCAGCAAATTGACTGAACTCTCCAAATTTTCTTAGCTTCGCAACTCACAAGACATATTAGGAGACTTTGGCGTGCATGTCATCATGTAATAAAAGTGAGGTTGGGACAAACACTTATATTCAAAATCTTGAGGGCATTTCAGTTTGTTTTCGGTTTTCCAATTTTGTACTCAATTCGATCTTCAGTTAAGGTTATCTCTGGTTTTGCTTGGCCTTTTTCTCTTTTGTAATTAAATGTTGCTCATTTGTTTCAACAGCACAATCCAAGCCAAATAAAAAAGAAAAAAATTGTCATGGACGTTTTGGTTATTCAATGGTTTTAAATGGCTTTCTTTGTTGTTTTATGATGTTGTATGATGTTGTGTTATATGAGAAATATTGATGTAATTAATGATATTGATCTATCAATTATTTCTATTTGGAAGAACCAGAAAATTTGTGAGTAAATTATGACATCTATTTTATCACTTGTTTCAACGATTATTAAGATTATCTTAAAAACTCACCATTTCAATGTATAATATTTTTATTTACCTGTTTTTCCTGTCGTTAAAATTATTCATGTGAAGAGTTGTTGTTCCTCACAAAAGCCAATCCATTTTGCCTAATGTCGTGAATGATATTGTAGATAAAATCCATTCAAGTCATTGACACTAATGTTGACATAAACCTCAATACCTCAATGCATGTTGTTGACATCAATATTAATAATTTTCCACCAGTTGATGCCAACAAAGTCATTACTCACCATGACAAACAACAAGTATTTGCCCACCGTCGCTTCCACAATAGGTGCAAGCCATCGAAATCACCATTGACTACCCCCAACATTAACAAAGTAAGCCTCACCAACACATCGATGACCATTTTCACCACCAAGGTCACCACCAAGGCCATGCCATCAACACTGCCATGCCATCAACACTTGATGATGCCAATAAGGTCGTCGATAAATGACATCACCAAAAAGGTTAATGCACACCCTCAATACTAATGTCAATTCATGTGATCGACATCAATGCTTATGGAAATTATCACCAACAATATCAATATAAATGGTCAACACCAACCTTGACATTCACCATTGACACCAAAGATGACACCTGCCATCAACATCAATATTGACTCCAACTTCTTCATCTTCCATCACCAGTAAGTTACATGTTCTCCATCAACACTAATGTTGATGTATGTCGTCTCTACTAAGATTGATGCCCACTTTCTTGGTAAGTAGTCTCCTCTCTTAATTATAAATAAAAAGTCTATGCGTACCTCCAGATTTCTTGATAATATGTCTAACATATTAAGACTAGTTCCTCCTACTTCTATTATCGAATCCATCATTCACAGCTCATGCCTACTATTTTGTATTAAAGCCTTCTCCAATTACATGGAAAGGCATCATTTATAACTTATAACTCAAAAGTGGAATTATTTCGATAAGGATAGGTCTCACAATTTTTCCCCCCAGGTTAGCCACCTAAAAATTCTTTTATCTCCTATGAGTTTCCATTAAAGTATCTTAACTATGTGTGTGGTATCTATCCATCTATCTATCTATATATTTAGTGACATATTATTCTAGCAATTGATATGATCTTTCTAATATTTTAATCTATTATACATGATTCACATAAATACATATTTATTTGAAGATCATTATTAAAATGTTAAATACTAAAAAAATTAATAATATTGTATTGAAAATAACAATGTATATGTGATTGTCATTTTAATTAAAATAGATAATATTAAAATTTATTATTGATTATTTTTTTATGAATTTTTAGATTGACTAGCTCAAGAATTTATAATACAGAGGTGGTGTTGAATGTGAAATGCTAGAAGATCCACTAGACTCAAAGAGATCCCAAAAAGATCCAAGATGCTCCTTTTACCCTTTATTTATAGGAATCCAATAGCTGCAAGGATGACTACATTAATAAAATGAATTAAAAAATATATATGATTTAATGACTCTGCAGACTATCTTAAACATGTGTCGCACTCTAGCTAGTAAGAGAGAGAATGATATTGCGTAAACTTGATTTGTCCGTCTCTAGGCAAGCTCAATAATGCCGAGTGCCAAAAGGGGGGTCACGTGACAAGTCTTGTATGCTAAGCAGAGGAAGGCTAGCAACCTGGCATCCTATGATGTAACTTTATAACACCATACTAAGAGAGGCGAGTGAGCTCAAGTAGCAAGGTTGACGAGTTCCCAGATTAGTTAACCATGACAAGGAGAGCTTGGACTTTGAGTAGGCAACTTCCAAATAGTTACGGTGGCAAGAAAGGTCAATGATACCCCATCATAATAGAAGGCTAGTAGTGTTGATAAAGAGTCCTTCATGTAAGAAGGCGAGTGAAAAATTAGATGACCCTTGGGGTATGCCAATTATATAAGTGGGAGCAAACTCCCCACTAAGCCCGTTATGAATTCAGACCTCATGGCTTCAGGGCGAGTTCACCTGTGGACCCATAAGATGCGAGTCCTTATGTCATAACCTACCGACTACCTATCAAATACTTAAAAGGAATAAGCGAGTATACATAATCATTGTAATCCTTATTTTAATGTTGCAATGTATAAATTAAACATGTCACATGCGCAAAGATAATTTTTAATATGGTGATTTTCACTATCAATTATTATGGTACTATAATAAATGGAATACACTCTAATATATTTATATGCAGTCGTATCAAATATCATCATACCTTTCAAAACATGACACATCAATCACTCATATACACTTGATTATATCTATTTAATTATCTATAGTCAGTTTTATCAAAATACTTCAAAACCGCAAAGATAAACTCCAACTCAAGAAAATTAAATGATTTCCTATAG